TGGTCCCTGTGGGAGTGGGTGGGATCAATCCTGCTCCGTGTGGGAGTGGGTGGGATCAATCCTGATCCATGTGGGAGTGTCCAGAATCAATCCTGATCCCTGTGGGAATGGGTGGGATCAATCCTGATCTCTGTGGGAGTGTCCAGGATCAATCCTGATCCCTGTGGGAGTGGGTGGATCAATCCTGGTCCAAGTGGGAGTGGGTGGGATCAATCCTGGTCCCTGTGGGAGTGTCCAGGATCAATCCTGCTCCATGTGGGAGTGGATGGGATCAATCCTGGTCCATGTGGGAATGTCCAGGATCAATCCTGATCCCTGTGGGAGTGGGTGGGATCAATCCTGGTCCCTGTGGGAGTGTCCAGGATCAATCGTGCTCCCTGTGGGAGTGTCCAGGATCAATCCTGCTCCATGAATGGGATCACAGCCAGGATCCCCACGTGGCCAGTGGGATGAGCACCGGAGCCCCTCAACCCCACAAGGGGCTGCTCCTGCTCCCCCCCCGCGTGGTGCTGATCCCAAATCCATGCCCATTCCCTGGGCAGGCTCAGAACCAGGCCCCTGACATGTTCTTCTGCATGAGGCTGCTGGAGGAGACGGGCATCTGCGTCGTGCCCGGCAGCGGCTTCGGGCAACGTGAGGGCACCTTCCACTTCCGGTGAGTGCCGGGGATCCCCCAGCCCCAAAAACCCCTCCCCATCCTAAAAACAACCTCCTCATCCCAAAAAACCCCTCCCCATCCTAGAAACAACCTCCTCATCCCAAAAACTCCATCCCAAAAACCCTCACCCCATCCCAAACACCCCCTCTCCATCCCAAAATCACCCTCCTCATCCCAAAAAACCCCCACCCCATCCTAAAAACAACCTCCTCATCCCAAAAAAACCCTCCTCATCCCAGCACCCCCTCCCCCTCCCAAAAACACTCTCCCTGTCCCAAAAACCCCCTCCCCATCCCACGCCCCCCCCCCCCCCCAGGGAATGAGCGCAGGGAATGCGGCTGCCCCGTGGAATGTGGGGAGGGGGTGGTCGGGAGGGGGCACCGCCGGGTCTGGGAGTGTCCTGGGGGTGTCCTGGGGGGATCCTGGGGGGTCACTGCGGTTCCAACCCCCCCAAATTTTCCACGCAGGATGACGATCCTGCCACCCACGGAGAAGCTGCAGGTGCTGCTGGAGAAGCTCAGCAGCTTCTACACCAAGTTCGTCAGGGAATTCTCTTAATGAGGGGGGGTCTCCCGCCACCCCAGACCCCCCCAGCACCCCCCCTGTCACCCCCCACCCACCCAGACCCCGCGTGGTCTCCAAGT